TGCCTAAAACAGGAATTGTATGATTACATTAAATTATTTTCGAACACACAATATATACTTAAGTATTTTGTAACGGATTTTCGAATTGTACGTCTACGGATTTATTTGCCGAATATATTAGGTTGTTTACGCCCTCAGCGTTGAAAAGAACGTCTGAAAATATAGAAACGTCTTTCTGCTGCCGAAAACGGGAATGTATGATTACACTAAAATTATTTTCGAAGGCACAATATGTGGGAGTATTTTGAGATAGAATTTAGGATTTTTTAAAATTTATTTGACGAATATTTATGATGATTACACCCTTAGTGTGGAAAAAGTCTGAAAGTGAAGAAAACGGTTTGCTTGTTGCAGAAAATGGGTACGAGAGATTCAACTAAAATTATTTCAGAAGGCACAATATATGTGGGAGTACTTTGAAGTTTTAGAATTGTACGTTCGCGGGTCAATAAATAATAGCATTTGTTACTCAATAGTTCAAAAACACATCACTGGGTTCGTAAGTACTAATTCAAACAAACAGCTGGAGTGCCTACTTTGAGTCGGATGTATGACCACTCAATTATTCCCGATTTATTGTACACCTGAACAGTGTCCAATCAAGACCCTTTAACTACTTTAGTCTTGTTTACACCAATAATGATACTAAACATGGGAATTTCAAATCAGTTTTGTTTTGATTTTTGTGTGTGTAATAACACAATATTGTTCAAATAGCAGTGTCAAATTACGACACTGTACCTGCTTCCTCAATCATGGAAAGTGTCCGATCACAACCCTCTTAAAGCGCGGTGGTCGTCGCGCAGCGCAGCGCGTGTTCGAATTTCATGTAAATAAACAATGTATTTTACACGCGTTGTATACGTCGCTATGAGTCCCATATCGAACAGGACGCGGCACGACGACTGCCGCCCTTTAAGTTTGCCTACTTTAGACCGACACACACCTATAGCGTTTACCATGCAGTTAAGTAAGCAAACAAGAAAAAGCAGTTTGTTTACCACTATTAGTTTACCACTTTTAATCATCTTACTTAGTATTAAAGTGGTAATAGCTGTGATTTTGAACATTTTTTTGTTTAAATACTGTAAAACCATTTATTTTCACTGACATTTAATTTCACTATTTTGACGTTTTGAGCATATTCAGTGTTTAAATTTAAATTTGTCAAGGACATAATGAATTTTATTTATTGTTAATTTACATGTTCATGTAGATTCAATTTAGCGGATTTTACTTTTTGCGAAATTAAAACCAAGCGAATAATTAATACATTTACAGTATAACCATAAAAATATCACCATATCTTACCAAAACTTCAGACCCAATTACATAGGCAAAAGTGACCCGACACAAGGCTATATCTTATGAAATGTGTTGAGTAATCGCTGAACGTTGAAATCGTTCATGTGAAGGGGTCTGTGAAAAATTATGACCCACAATGTACAATATTATGGGAAGTGACAATCATCAGTGACATCCGCAAGGTTCTCTGGACGGACAAAACTGAATTTCAATTGTGCCCTCTGGAGACTTGCATTCAATCCAGCGGCCATTTTTTTTCACTTGCAATAAATGCTATGTTTTCAGTGCCCACATTTCGGCAATAGCCATAGAAATTGATACTAATGACACAGGAATGTTTTATTAAAACATCGAAAAGAAGATTGATAGTTACAGCTATAGTATAGTTACTGCGCCTTTAAATATATTTATTTAAAAGAAACAAAAATAAATGAAGTCAAGTACATTAATGTTGATAAAAGTAAGCTTTTCAGTTTTATAAAAACATTCTAAAATGGCAGTTTAAAACCTTCAATAATTGTTAGACCCCCTAGCCTAGTCAAAATAAATTGACATTGATATTAAAATTGAATTCCCACTTTGTACGATCTGTATACTGTCTTATGTTGACCTCTGTAAACATACAAGGGCTTTGGGTTTTGAATGAACTCATGAGAAATGTTATCCAACACAATCATGAAATCAAACATGCCTTCTAAAGTAAAGGAAGTCATGCACACATGTACTTAAAAATGACATTGAGTGATTACAAAAATGACAAATTATATTAGATTTGGTGATTAGATTAGATAAGGTGCAGGCCAGTGTGCTCTTTATCAGGACTGATTTTGTAAGTCAAAGTGGTATATCTCAAAACAAAGATGAGTCAGCTTGTCAATTGCTGTGAAAGTCAGTCTTCACGAAAAAAACTGTAGGTGAGGCACAAATAAAAAATGTGACCCTGTTTTACACTTTTTTGATATATAAAATGTGAATTTTACCAAATTACAAATTCCATCAGTACAAGTAAGATGTTTTTCAAGACCATTATATTAAAGTATGATTATCTGTTGTGTCAATGACACAGCAGCAAGTCTCTGTACATTCAATGGCAGGTCATATTGGCTTAGACGCCACACTGATGCAGACTAGCTAGACTGAAATGAAAAGATAATTCACAATTGTACTTTTATTGTCCAAGTTCACACACCTTATTCGTAAATGATCCCTTAGATGTTTTTGAGAGCATGAGCCACATTTCTTGTTGCCATAGTACTCTCTTGCTCATGAAGCGATTTTGGTGTAATTATTTTTACTAGATGGTACTGTATATTTTATATACGTTTGAAATTAATTTTTCGCTATTTTCGCTGAAGGGATGATTCAGTGAAAATAAACTCGAGTGAATATACCTTTTTTCCTATATTTTACATTCAACTTGTCAAAAATCAGAGAAAATAAATTCCATATAAAGCACGCAAAAAATCTTTTCAGCGAAAATTAATTGCAGCTAAAATAAAGTATTTTACAGTAATACTATCAACAGTAAAAATAAATTTGAAACCTTATATCGCAAAAGTATTGGTGCAGCAAGTTAGCTCACTAATTCACCAACTACTGTGGACTACTTTATTTTTGCTGGAAATAATTTTCGCTGCGAAGGCTTTTTGGGCGTTTTGTATGGAATTTATTTTCACTGATTTTTGACGAGTTTAATGTGAAATATAGGAAAAAAAGTATATTCGCTGGATTTTGTTTTCACAAAATCATCCCTTCAGCAAAAATAAATTTCAAGCGAAAATAAAGTATTCTACAGTACTTTATTTCAAATAGATTTATGAGGTTTTACAGGGCTGAAGAGTTGTATAGCGAATTAGTGACTTGCTAATCCAATACTTCTGAGATTCGCTGCAACTGTTCATGGTTTTGTGTTTTTTCCGTACCTCAAGCATGAGGTTGTATTTAAAGACATGTATATATTAGTATCTTTACAACATCATCTGCTCAGTGTGTATTGTAATATTTTTATGATCTAATATATAATAAACACAATTTTTGGTTTACATATGCTTTTATTAGTGATGCACGTCTAATAGAGCAAATACGACATCCTTATTTCAGTTTTTAAATATCTAACAAGCATATAGTACAACCACATTCACTAATTACAACTATTGACATAATTTACAGTTCAAAAAAATCTCCTCAGCCGAATGATATTTCAAAGCCTCGTTGTAAAAACTTAAAAATTCTTTGTGGATCATTTTGTCTTGTTTCCTTGTGAACTTCCGCCTGTCCCGGTTCACTAGCTTATCGACAAGGTAATGTAGCCAGAGTACGTTGGTCATTAAGCAACTTTTTTCCCAATCATTTCTGGAATGTTAAAAGAAATGCAATTGATTTAAAAATAGCAAATTGCTTGTACTTCAACAGAAACATGGATATCACAGAAAGCCTGTGTATTCTATATCCACTGCAGGGAAAGCCAATGATAGCTCATACAGCAAGATTATACAGCTTGCAGGACTCTATCCCAATGATAGCTTACACAGCTTGCAGGGCCCATATCCCACCATAAATAACTTTTGTCACCTTTCTCAAAAAAGTTGCCCAAATAATTGTTTCCATATTCATATTCATATTCATGATCAAAAGCAATTATACGGGTTTGAGGGCCGCTATCTCAATGATTGCTCATACAGCTTACAGGGCCACCATAAATTTTACTCATGCTTGAATACCAAAGTCAACTTTTGTTCAACTTCACAAACAATTAAGCCAAATAAATGTTTCTATATTCATGATCATAACCTATAGCCGATATAGGTTAGTTGACGTGCTCACTGTGCTACTTTTGTGTGTACTTTGTGGTATTCTTGTTAAAACTTCATAGTGATAAACCACGGTAGACATTTTTATTTCAGCAGAAGTTGTTAACAGAAAGACTTCAAAGTTTAATGCTCTGTGTGGATACTTACTTGTTGTATTGTTTCATTAATCTATAAACTTCAAACTGGTAATCACCTTGACCTTGGAATAAGGTTTCATCTTCAGCCAGATTACAGAACACAGTACATCCATCTAAAATAAATAAATACAAAAAATGCAATAAGAGCAATTTTAAGTTGTATTGTCAGAAAAACTTAGTTGAAAGCACTTTCAGTAATGAGTAACTTGGTCAATAATCAAATTATGTCATATTTTTGATGATTTTGTAAGCGGTTTCTGGTGTATGTATGCTTCTATTGACAATATGCTTCTAAAGCAAATATGGTAATGCTTACTGGATCATTAAAATATGACCTACTATGACCATTGCCATTTACTACAATCAAGACATAAAATAAACTTACAATAGAAAATTAAAATAAATAAAATGAAATAAAATTCGCCAAATTGATGTAAACATGTAGAATAACAATAGAACTCATTGTTTCCTTGTCAAGTTCAGGAACTTAAAACCCAGTGAAAATGCTCAAAACATCAAAATTAAACGCTAGTGAAAATAAATGGATTTACAGTACGTGGTCACATCAACCTCAGCTCTGCTAGGTGATTTCCGGTACATGTATGGTAACATTGGATCATACTGACAATAATCACACCAACCTTTTTTAAGTCTTGAAAGAGTAAAGTCAATCAAACTGACTTGCACACCATGTGTTTCTATCTCGTACATTTCATTATCTAGAACGTAATGTAAGTTGTCTGTATCTGTGAATGCCACAAGAATATTTCCCTGGTGGAGATCTCTGTGCTCAAATTGTAGTTGTTTCTCGGCAACAGCGAGAGAACACGTCACTTGTTGGAACACACTCTTCATCTGCTGCATATTCTTGAACTGAAACAATAAAATTTGGACTTTTTGTTAATCAAATTTGTTTATACAAAAAAAGTTTTCCTGTATTTTTTTTTTATTCAGCATTAATTTTGGATGAGACAGAATACAATATTTAGAGTTACAAATATACCTATTCTAGTTTTGTTTGTTTAAATCAAATGACCTCATGCATATTCATGAGGTAATAATGACCTTACTTAAATCTATTTTTCTGCGTCATCACCTTCACATGAAGAACTACCCGGTGATGTTCCCGATTTGACGTCACTTTGAGAATTTCAGCAAAATATTCCTAAAATGTGTCATTAGACTAGTGAAGACATTGAATTCTTTGTTTACCAAATGGATGTTTTGTTAAAGAAGACAGGTCGTCACCTGCACATACACAGGAATTGAGTCCTAGGAGACAATAATGGTACATGCTAAAAATGCAAAAAGCTCATGGGTAGACACTCTTGCTGTCATTGGAGGCAAAATCAAGAACACTAATATGCGAGTGCATTGATTGTTATTGTATGTACTATTGTGTGCACCAGGATACAGGCATATCACAGAATTCCATTGTTTCATCGAATGAATATTCAGATGTGTGCTACAAAGGACAGTGTTTTATTGTCATGATAAATAAATCTTAGCCAAATCAATTCGTCGACATAACAGTATTCGTCAACAACATTATCGAAAATTACAGGTTCTCGTCACGGTTCATAATAATCTTTAAACTGGAAGCAACATTTGTTCGTCCTCAAGTCTGCAAAGTTATGTTTGGCCATTCAAGGTAATTAATACTTCCAATAAAATTATTCTACATCATGTATCATTACTGAATCTAAAGGTATTATTGGTATCATACGTGGTGTGATATAAACCACATGCTGACTGATCATATTTGGCCATATTATGCGAGACACACAAACACACATGTATCCCAATACATGTGTACTATTTGTAGGTGTCTTACATTCTTAAGGTTGAAATTATATTTCCAAAATTATATTGTAGATGTTTGTGGAGTAATACTGAAATAACGATATTATCAGCTACTGCTATCTACCACATGGCAGTGTTGCCACACCATGTCTCCGAAACACAACCAACATGTACATATGCATAAAATAATTATAACATTTACCTCAAAATTTTCAAGATCACATCCTCCATCATTGAATTCAAATATAATAAATAACTGACTAGAATCAAATATATCTGAAAGAAACAAAATAGATTTATGAAGTACAAAAGCAAAAAAACAGACAAATTTTGTTTCCTGGCAGCACAGCACACACATCACTTATAAAGGTCAAAGGTCTCCATCACTCCATTTTTTAGGAATTTCTGCCTAAATATAGAAAAAAAACAACTAAATAATACATTTTTTTCGAGACAATTTTTTTTCTCCGCCTAATGTGTCAAAGTTACAAAGTGGTATAGATTTGAAGAGTAGTTCGGAATTTAATAATAGTTAGTACCCGTTGTATCCCCAAACTGTATCACTAAAACCACCATTTCGATCACTCCTGTGCCAGGGACCAGTGTTTGAGCGACCGGTCGGTGTTTTCAATGAGCCAGCGAAAGAAACGATAACGACCGGAAAATACAGTGTGGTCGAAAATTAAACGATAAGCGGTCATTTGAAAAGTGAGAAGTTGGGCGAAATGGGTACTGTAGTTCAAGTGAAGTTAGCGTATTTCTAATTTAGTTTTAACTCGTATAATGTTTATTCACTCGCTGTTCACTATAGCTAGAACGCTGTTCGTGTCTTCACTTTCAAGTTAGTTTTTCTGTCGATATTTCGAAACCAACAACGTGATTTTTTGGGGATTTCGAGAAACGTATGGTATTCATACGCACAACATCTCACAATGTTTCAACTTTTAAATTGTCAGTTAACAAGGGTTTTCATAGTAGCACTTCTATGAGATTGACGTACTAGAATGAATGGGTTCAATTATCAGTGTTCACTGGTGACATCATTGAACTGGCCCTCTAGAGGCGAAATTACGCCAGGCAAAGCGGACGTTTGTTGTTCACAGCCCGTTTTATACCCGATATTTAGAGCATTTCGCAGCACATGCAAGTTGTTTTTATTGACAAAATTCATTCATAGATCTCAAATTTCATGTACAGAGTGTCAAAAGCCAGACTTCTGCTCCCCTTTAAAGTATAAAGCGGGGGAGTCGTCACCTACGCATGCGTCAGGTGGCCATAGCGTGTCATTGTTTACAAATAAGTGTTTACCCATGGGCCTTTGCATTCTTAGCGTGTGTTATTATTGTCACAGTGTA